ATCATCATGATGATAAATAAACGTTCAACGACATGAGAGTATTGCTGAATTATCATTTCCTGTATTCTGAATGCTGAAAGTGTTAAAATCGTGAGAAATATTCACCATTATCATTACCATTCCAATATCATCTTAGATTGAATTTTCAAGTGCTCGGTGTTAATCCGTGCATACTGAACACACTGAGCACACACACCACCTTGAGACACCAAGAAGGATGTGTTACCTGTTATTGTACCTGACAGAGCATCCGATTACCATGGTGGAGGATATTGAATCGCTTCCTTGAATATCACATCAACCATCAAATTGATTCAACTTCATCAATACCCAGAACTTACAATGATCAAACTTGTTTTTCTTTCTCTCTCTCTCTCTTTAAATTGGTTGACAAATTAACTTTAATTCACCTGATAAATTAAGTGATTAAATTGTTAGTTAATTTTAAGTGATTTTCAACCTTTTTTCCCTGTCGATTGTTGTTGATTGTTGTTGATCAATGTAAACAATATTTGATTGTTTGTTTTCATTGTGAAAAACAAAACCAAAACTTATCCTTACAAAACTACTCAAGATAATCAACTTTAAATTGTACTCTTAAATTTAATTGTTCAAACAATTTACTACCTCAACTCTTTGATTACTATTAATAGATTTAGTTGATTGTCTCTTCAATTAATTGTTTTTCTAGGTAATCACAATTACAATGACAATTTTCACTTGTAGCCATTATCATAATTGATTAGCATCAATCAAACTTATCGACAATTAATTATAAATAAGATTAATTTTTCAATTGTTTTAATCAACTGACCATTTAATTGCTAATTCATTGCATTGACAATCAATTTTTTTTGTTTTTCTCAATGACTTTTGCTGATATTCAATTGTTACTTGACATTAATGTTTATAATTATTGTTTTTCTTAATTGTTAATGAAATTATTGTCATTTATTTCAAACTTGGCTAATTAACGGTTCCACAATTAAGCTGATTACTTTTATTATATTATTATAATTCAATTATCACAATAATTTAAATCTAATATCTTTGTTTCAATGACAATTATATAAAGTTAATCAACGATTGATGATTTTGTTGAAAGCAAAATATTCAATGTTAATTGTTTAAAATGAGCATTAAATTTTTGATGGTTAATCAAGTTAATTAACAACAGTAACAACAACAACAAAAAAGGTTAAGGTAAAATGAATTAACTTTGATTGTTGTGAGTTAACTTGATCAAAATTGATTAAATTTGATTGACAGCAATTTAAACTTTATTGGTTTGATGAATTGGGATTGTCATTTACAATTAACATTAAGAGTAAAAAAAAAGCGATAATATTAACTTTAATTGTTGGTATTTTTTTATTTACCTGTTGATTGTTGTTTTTACAAATCGAACCATGAATTTTGTTAGTTATTAAATTGTCAAAATGTGACTTGAAAAACTGAATCAATTGATTAACCAGATGATTAGTAAACTATTGATGAGGTAAAGGTATTAAAAATGATAATAATGATTAAGTTTTGTTAATTTTCATCATGATTATGATCAACAATCAGTCTGATCTCACCCAATTGTCTGAAAAGTTTATTTATCTTTACCTTTTTTTCAGCATCATCATCATGTTATTCAATCCAAATGATGATGGTGATGATGATCAGAAGGATGCTCATATCATGATTGTATCAAGATTAATCAACACACACACCTTGATTGCAGACAATTATTATTAAACTAGTAGCCAGTTAATCAACAATTAACCACCAACTCTTTAATCACCACAATCATCATCATCATCTATTAATATCACTTTTTATACTTGAAACCATTTTCACTTTTTTTCTCACTTGTTTTAATATTAAACTGTTGATGATAATCAATTTTAATCATGTTGTTGTTGTGATGATGATGATGATGATTATTAATTCAGATGATACCTTGATTTATATTTATCATGTTAATTTATTATTATCAGATTGGGATTTTTTTTTATTTTACTTTAATTACTTCTGATTGGAAATTGTGCTTTTTTCAATTCACATTTCAACATGTTTAAGATTAGAAATTTACTTTGGACGATTATAATTATCGTCATTATAATTGGAATAGTTAATTAAATTGTGATCAACGGAGAGATTGCAAATGATTCTTTTAATTGTTTGGAGAACAAAAAAAAATGGGAAAATAATCGAATCCAATTGTTCAATTATCTAATTAGTTAATTACCTTGGATTCTTATAATGTTCGTTCAGATCCGAATTTGAATTCGTCTCCAAGTATTATGATAATAACATATTGTCCTTGTCGAAAAAAAAAAGTTCTAATGGAAAGATGAAAAGTTTCGAGAGAGAAAAAAAATGGAAAATAATTTAAATTCTAATCATGCTGAATTCTTGTCATGATTAATTCTGATTATCACCAGTTCAGAGACATGGTGGTTATCATTCAATTTCTTGTAATCATATAACCGGATCTTTGATTTGGAAAATAAAATGAATGAAAATTTGTTAATGATAATTTTTTTTTCTGTCTCCAATCTGAGTAACTTTTTTTTTTGCTTCTTCTCCTCTCATTCTGATGTTACCTTCATTCAGCTATTAATTATCATTATATTAATTGAGAGAGTTCATGTCCTGAGGGCTTTTTGGAACAATTTTCAAAAGTTTCAGCTAAATCCAAGCTAAGATACAGTTATAGTTATTAGTAACAGATAGGGTGGGGTTAAAGGTTCCTAGAGTTATCTTGATGAATCCCCACCCGAAATCAGGTGATGAGGTAAACTTGAAAGTAACCATGGTAACGGTCATAGTTTTAAGCATTTCAAGTTAACTTTTTTCTGCATTCTGATAATGAGAAATACTCACAACCCGGACATGGTATTAATCGTATAATATATATATATATTTATATGAATAAAAGGATTGAGTTGTTGATGATGATGGAGATGATTCAGATTCTGATTCATGATTGATGAAAAAAAAAACAATTTTCTTACCTTTTTTTGTTCACATCATCATCATGACAATTAATTAACTGATAATCAGGTAATCGGTTGATACTTTTGTGCCAAGTTTTGTGATTTTTTTTCGTGTTTTATTTGTTAATTATCAAGCTAATGTGTTAATTGCAATGATTAACAATAACACAATTTGAACAATTAACGATAATCACTTAACAAAATTAACAACATTCTGCTTTCTCATTTGGGTATATAAAATTTTCATCATGAAATGAAAATTTTCTTGTGAGTTTAATGTTATTATTTTTCTGTTAATTGTTATGCTTAATTGTTGCTGTTGTTGTTGCTAATTGTTGTTTATTTTTGTCTCTCTCTCTCTCTTTAAATTGTTTGATTCACTTTGATTAGCTTCTTGAATTTTTATTCAACAATAATTTTATCATGAAAAAAAACCATAACAATTGAAATGAGTAAATGAACTTTATCTCCATGAAAATGAATTGAAATTTTTGTTTTTCTTTTCATTTTCTCATTTATATCAATTGAATTATTTTTCACATTTTAACTAACAATTAATTGAACTCTATTTTTATGCTGATGATTTTATTATCATGTAAATCAGTTAATTGTCTATGGTTTAATGGTTAATTGTTTGGTTAATGGTTGAGAGGATTAAACGAAGAAAGTTAATTAACGATAACAATTAACTTATCGAGGGAATGAAGGTTTTAAACTTATATGTTAATTACGTTGGTTAGGTGATAGATTTTAATTGTTAAGAGCAAGTAAAAACCTATGTTATAAAAAAAATCACAATTAGCTAATTGTTAACTAGCTGTTCATAATGATTACCCATTAACTGTGGCAATCTTATTAATCAGTGACTCTTAATTGTGATTTAGCATTTAATTTGTTATTGTTACTGCTTATGGATTTGTTATATTTACCATGTTTGATAATTAATTGTGTGTTTCCCTGTGACAATGTAAAAACAAAATGGCAAATCAATTAGTTAATTTTGTTTTAGCAAATTGCTGTTAAATTAAACAACAATTTACCTGTAATATAACAAACAGGGCGTTGACATTTACCTGTTGATTGTTGTTGTACCTTGTCAATGACAATTTACCTGTCGACAAATTTTGATCATCAAGTATTGATTCAAGTTCACTCAATACTTATGCATATACATGTATAGAGATGTGTGTGTACTTAGATTGACAAACAAAGAGGTCATAGGTTAACAAGAGGATGGTCAATATACTTTCAAGAGGGTGACAAAATCAGGAATCAGGAAAAACAATGATGAAGATGAAGATAAACATTTACAATAAAAAGTAATTGTCCTTTCAATTGGTGATGCGGATAAAAAGTGAAAGCGAAAGTGATAAATTGAAAACCTTTGAAAATTGGTCAACAATTAGAAAGCAATTGTAGTTAAACATCAATAATTTGAATATGAATATACTTGAAACCCTCTTGACCAATTGTTATCCTTATACTGACCATTGAATTACCTTTATCACCATTTAACTCCCAGTGTTTATATTTAACCATTTTAATTGTCAACTTGATAATAAGTTTTTACCTCAAGGTTTATATCGTTTAGTTACCCTTGATTATTTCATGTTACCTGTGATTTTTATTATCATAACAATTTATTAATCATAACTTCATAGCAATTGACTTGATTAAGGCTTTTTTTTAACGTAATTGTTAAAATAACAACAACAGGTAATAATTTATTTATATTTTTCTGCAAAGAATCAACAAATAGTATTGAAAAAAAATCCCCTTTTTGGTTAGTTAAAAGTACCAATAAAATTATATGGAAAACATCACAATTAACATTATCATCATGATGATTAACTCCAATTGTTTACAATTAAATGTTTCCAACAATTTATATAATCATCGGTGTAACATTGATTTGGTCATCATTTGTCTTTTACCTGTTCAACTAAATTGATAATATACGAAAAAGTTAATTAACTGAAAATTTTACCTTTTCTTTTCTCTATACATTTATAGTGATCAACTAATTCTAAACAATTAATATTCAACATTGTCCAACAATCAACAATATCAACGAAAATTGTTAATCACCTTACCCAAAGTTGCTGTTAATTAAATTGTTAATTCGTGATAATATTTAATCATAGATTGGAGAGATAAACAAACAATTGTCAACACCCGATTTGTGAACGTTAATCAATCAATCGAAATCAACACAATCAACAAATAATTTAAAACTTTTCTTTCTTACAATTAATTGTTAATCAGATAATTAAGGTGTAATTAGATTATTAATTGTTACCTTAACGTTGTTGATCATTGATCAAGTTTCATTTCCCTCAATTATTGGCCTTTAATTCAATTTCTTTGGTGGATTTTTCATTCAATTCTCTTGATTAATTCTGGTGGATTAACTCATTTGGATTCAATTGAGTTTGATTAACAATAACAATAACTATTATGAGGAGATCACAAATGATCATTACCAAAACCATTGGATTAACTATTGTTATTAATCAATCAACTACTCTAATCCAACAACAACAACAAGGCGATTCTATAAGATCAACAAGTCCTTGATTAACATTTTTCGCAAATCACAATCAATCTTGATAGATTCAAGCGTGACACCTACAAGTTTCATCCACAATTAACAGTCAACAATCAACTGATCATATTCGCAATCATAATCTAATCGAAAATTAAGTTTTACCTTCGTTTTCTTCATCTTTCTATCTCTCTCCTTAATCTTGTCCCTCTATCGACTTTTCATCTCATCGAAAAACGGATAACGTTCAATCTGACGATTTATCCTCATAATCTCATATAATATAATCACAACAATTAATCATCAATAATTAACCTTAACTTTGACCTAAATTCATTGATCGAATCCGCAGAAGACAAAAAAAAGTTATCACTTCTATTTAGAAATCATAATTAACCAGTTTGATTGTTGTGAATACTTTTTTCTGTTGTTTCTGTTGTTTAATTGCTTACAATTAATTTTGATTAGAGCTGAAAAAAAAACTTCTCTTCAATTTATATTAATTCACAGTTAAATCATCATCATCATAAATCATCATCAAAGTTGATCAACGAAAATTATCAACAATCAAAACCGCCGAGAACCTTTTTTTTGTGATTCACCGTAAACTTAAGGCACGACGACGATACCCAAAAGTCCAACGGTTCACCCGTTACCAGGTCATCACAAGTGACCCCGTGTGACGTAACGGGAAAGTGTGAACCCATAGGAAATCGTTACCGTGATTGTTGTAACGGTTTAAATAACCAATCAGCTGATCCTGATAATCAACCATCTAAACAGGTAACCAACATTCAGCATCACGGATTATCATCAGGATCATCAACAATCAAACCGATTGATTTGAGTGGTAAAAAGTTATCACCACCGTCAACAAATAACATCATGTGTCCACCTCAAGTGACCACCGTTGATGAAAACAATCATGTGGCCGTTGTCTGGCGAAACCTTACCGTTTATAAACCAATGGATCTACTTGACGGTTTCCTGGTTAAATCCATGTCCCATAAATGTCGTAAGGCCATTTTACGAAACATTTCAGGTGTCTTTCGATTCCATGATCTATCCGCTATCATGGGACCTTCAGGTGCTGGTAAAACAACATTGTTACAATGCTTATTTGGTACATGGTCAGGTCGTTATAAGGGTAAAATCTATCGTAATCCATTAGCAAATAAGGCCTCATTTATAACCCAAAAAGAGGAAGATCACTTGTTCCCTTGTTTATCGGTTATTGAATCCATTTTTTATGCTTCCCGTTTAAAGGGTGCTCAAAATGAGTCCAAGGTTGTTGAAGAGCTTATTGATCAACTTGACCTTCGTAATTGTCGCCATACTTTGGTACACTCATGTTCGGGTGGTCAACGTAAACGTTTGGTTATCGCTCAAGAATTGGCCTCAGAGGTTAAACCTAAAATTTTATTCATCGATGAGCCAACATCAGGTTTAGATTCAAACGTTTCTTTTACCGTATTAACTCAATTGCAAAAACTTTGCATGGCCCATGGAATGGCCATAATTGCGACAATTCATCAACCCTCATACAAGATTCTTAAACTGTTTGATCAACTTTACGTTCTTTCACGAGCAGGTAAATGTCTTTACCAAGGTAGACCGGAAGTACTTCGCTCATATTTATCTCAATTCCAGGTTAATTGTCCAAATGGACATAATCCAGCGGATGTTATCATTGATGCCGCTGCGATAAATACAGTTTGCCTTTTGGACGAAGAAGAACCAACCGATTGCTTTAGTCGAAGCCATCGATCATCTCGATCATCATCTAAATCCTCATCAGCAGTCGCCAAGTCACAAGTCAATAAAACGACAACCAATTTATCATCAAATTCCTGTCACCTTTACCCTTTCACCTCACATTTTACAACAACAACAAATAATTGTCTCAATAACTGTAATCACACCAACAATCATAATAATTGTCTTCATCTTTCACCACCACCAACATCCTTCTCATCTCATCCAATTTCATACTCATCCTCATCACCACCAAATGGACCTGCAAGTCAACAACAACAACGTAAAAATCACCAACAACAACAACCCAAAGAGTCAACGACAATTTCAATAGTAACACCATTAGATGAGAAAGAATTATTAAAAGTTCGATTATTAGAAGAATCTTCTGCCAAGTTGATTGAATTCGAAATGGATTCAATTGATACCAGTTCAATGTCTGAAGTTGAAGAAATGAGAGAAAATCGGAATCACCTTAGCCTTCGCCATATGATGTATCTACTTCGACGTTCATTTCTCCATGGTACTTGTCGTGAACCTTTATGGTTATTTATTCGTGTTGGTTTACATGTATTCGTTGCCCTTTTACTTTCAATGCTTTACGATGGTAATATTGGTGTAGATGATGGTTGCCTAAGGTAAATTCAGCTGGATACTATTATCGACCCAATTGTACGGAGCAAGTTCCACTTTCCCGTCTTCGTGAGGAATCAAATATCGATAGGAACATATCTTACCTATTTTTCAATCTACTTTTCCTCATGTTTGCCGCTCTCATGCCAACGGTGTTAACCTTTCCCTCTGAGATAAAAATCTTTATGAATGAACATCGTAACGGATGGTATTCAACCGCCTCCTATTATATGGCCAAAACATTAACAGAATTCTGGATTCAGTTAATCCTTCCCTACCTCTATTCCCTATTCACTTATTATACAACCCAACAGATTGGCCTGAATTCATGGGTAGACGCGATCCCTTGCCACCAAGTCATCAAGATTTAATAACTTTGTCTCAATATCAATTCTTGCCTCTTATATAGCCCAAGGGGTTGGCTTCTTTATCGGAGCCATTTTCACCACCAATTTTAACATCTCCATTTTCGTGGCCACCGTTATAATGTTATTCAATTTTCTTTTCTCTGGTTTCTTTGTACGATCCAATTCAATGGGTCGAGCACAATTTATAACTTACCTTTCCTTTATACGATTCGCTTTTGAGGCCATTCTATTAACCATTTATGGACAGAAAAGATGCCACCCGATGAGAATGGTGTCCGTCTAAGTGATTCTGGTTCGTCTTTTGCATCAAACGATCAAAGTGATTCTGAGTATAATAATGTGATCTCCGTAGTGATGTTCAAATTTGAGCTCAATGATAAAGATTATTCAACCCATTTTACCGCTCTAACATTTCACCTTATCCTTTGGAGGTTGGTGACATTTTCATCCTTTACTGTAAAGTTAATCCGGAGATTAATTTCCGTTTCCTAATTTATCCTGTTTATCACCAGGAAAATTTTCTCAGCCAAATGCTGTCTCTATTTTTCAACCCTTGTAATAATTATATCTTTAGCTTTTATCATTTTTTCCGTCTATTATTTAATCACTGAGTGATTAATACAATCTAAATTTAAATCGTAATCTCGTAAACAAAATCAACACCATAATCTATAAACACACACACACACACAATACAATTAATTACACCAGGATGATGATGATGATGACCACCACCTCCACCACCACCACGATGACCACCACCTCCATCAATCTTTGCCCCACTTCCTCCTCCCAATTGCAGCATTTACAATGGATCCAAATTTCCCGCGAAAAACTTTTAATCAATTATATGAGAAACTAAAAAAAAAACCAATCGACAACAATTAACAATTTAATTATATCAATTGTAAGCATAATTATAATTTCAAATTAATTTGATTTAAATGAAATACACACAAAAAAATACATACATTGTAATAATAATAATGAGATAATAATTATATTGTTTCAATTGATTGTTAATTCATTTCATTGCAATCGACTACTAATTAATCAATTTAATTTAATATCTATTACGGGACAATTAAGTTAATCACATTGCAACGTATTCGAGTAATCATCTTTATTATATTGATTATCGTTAATTGTTTATTACTGTGAATACATTTTGGTTAATCAAATTAGCTCAACAATTTACGCATTTCAAGTTGATTTGTAAACAGAAAAAGTTTTTTTTTTCTCAATTTACCCTAAGGGCATTTGTAGCATTTACCTTAATTTAGATTTAGTTTTTTCTTTCTGTCCGGATGTTCAATCACTTTCCATTATATTTAACAATTAAACTAATCACAATCAAGTCGAGTGTCTTAACTGTAGTATTTATATTTAACTTGGATAATTGATCTTTAATCAATCGGAATCAAATTGGTTATAATTAATTGCTCTGTTATTTAGCCGGAAAGAGTTAATTGATTTCCAATTAATTTAATCTAAAATTAACAAAAGTCTCTTGATTTATATTATTAATTATCGGTAATTAATTCAACTTGAATTAACCTGAATTGGTTAAACAGTATTTACTATATTAAATTGTAACAATTAAAGCTACTTCAAGTGTATCATTTACTAAATTATCAACTAATATGATGATGATCATGATGATATTTAATCAACTACAATTTGTTGATTTTTATCAATCAATTTAATCAATAATCAAGGTGAGTAATTCAAAAATCAATATATTATATATCAACAGAACCTTGGTAAGGTTATTTAACTACTTAATCATAACAATTAACTGATTGCTTGAAAATTTTCTGGGTCAATGCCTACTTAACAATTCATAAATCATGATCAATTTGTTTTGTTACAGTTAATTGTTAATCTTAATCATGTCTGCCAATTGATGCAAACTACCCAATCAATCAACTACAATTAAGATTTTTGTATTATTAATAATATATAATATAAATATAAACAGATCAATGGACAATTTAACAATCACAACAATTAACATCTTAATGATAGTGATGATTAGTTACAAAAACAACAATTAAAAACATAATAACCTTTTTTTTTTAAATATATAAATATTATTTACCTTAATCATGATAATTTAACTGTTAATTGTTTTAAATTGATGTTATTACAAAAGTATTAGCTTTGATTGTGATATGAATACATTAATTGTTCAAAGTGAAACTTAATCATTGATTGTTAATCATTATAGTTGATTACGATTTATGATGATAATGATGATTGTCACATTTGATTGTTAAACTATTTCAGTTTAGGGATATAAATTGTTTGCTATTAAAATCCAATGATTAACATTAATCACTTTGAGGATAAGTTTGATTAGTTATCCATTTGTTTGTTGTTTTCACTTCTCAAGTTGATTAACTTTGGATTCTAATTTGATTGTATGTACACAATCATCATCATCATCATTAGCAACATAATAATTATATCTAGAAACTTAAACGGATGTTAATTGTTGTTGATTTGTTTAAATTTCTAGATTAGCATTTGATGCATTGGGATAAACAAAGTGCTCGACACTCCCGAATCAGGTGAATAGGCTTGATTGTTGTCTTCTTCCTCTTTAATTTTGTTAATTGTCGCTGCACCATTGAACATTTCGATTGGTATTAATCCTCTTCCACTCGTTGAATTGATAAACTTTTGATATTCATAATAATCTTTAGCTGATGATGTTGGCGTATCGATTTCATAAGTGTTGTTAAATTTTGAATAATCGACTCGATATTGTCCAGTATCTTTACGATAACCGATCATCTGTTCAAATCGATGGCCCCACAATATTTCACATGGAAGGTAAGAGGTTCGAGCTTGTATTGATTGGCCAGTTGATTCAATTGTTCCCTCAAGAATAACAACAATCTCAAAACGTTCTCGAACCAAATGATCAGCGGACATTGAATAAAAGGGTGAACTTGAATCAACCTCATGGACAATTGTCGCAGGCCAGACAAGGAAAACATTTGAATCGCTATTATCAAATTTAACCGAAACTCTATTGTGATAATAAGGGATCACCTCTCCTTCCGATGTAACCTTACGATCAATTACAAGAGCCGAAATGGAAGCACCAATTATATGAGATCGATTACGAACATCACCAAGTCTAAACATTAGACACAATTTACCATCTCGAAGGCAAATACAAGCATTTTGACTGAACATTAAAGTTTGCGATCGCTTCTTGGGCCGAGATAATTTGGCGAAAACAAAACCAACCACAAAACATTGAATCATTACTCCGGTTATTGATTGGATACATGATGATTAAAGCTTCGGGACACTCAGTTGTTGGTGGCGACCTCCATAGCCGATTGTGTGCTGAGTTTCAATCGAGAAAAGAAAAGCTGAAGTAAATGAATCGATCCCATGGACACAAGGTTTAACAACAGGAAAAACACCATTAGTGGAAACAGAATCAGGAGCAACTAACTGAGAGTCACTTTCACCACCACCACCACCACCACCAACTCCACTTCCACCGCCACCAGCAATAACCGAAGGCTCAAGATCACCGTGAACATAAGCGATGAAATACCAAATGATGGCGAATCCTAACCAGCTGAGTAAAAATCCCATTGAGAAGACCAGTAGATTCCACCGCCATTGAATGTCCACCATTGTGGTAAAAGTATCCTGAAGATAACGTTGACTCCGTTTCTCAACGTGTTCCTTGCATAAATTAACCGAACCATTTTTGAGAACGACCCGTTTCCGTATTCGACCTGGAAATATTTTCGTCTGTTTACCACACTTATTATTTGAGTGGTTTCGATCATTAATAACTATCATCAGTTAATTGTCTCCGGATTGATTGATTGATTAATTAACACACAGGGAAAAATAAAACAAAACAAATCACAAAAATGGCACAAATGAGAGATTAAACTTTTTCTTAATCCAATTGATTCGGATTAGCAACAGTATATTAATTGTTACGAGAGAAAACACAATCAAACCTGAGTAAAATTAGTTAACCAACATAATCAATAACAATTAGTTGATCAATTAAACTAATTTTAAACTAATTGTCTATTAATTTGACTTTGTCTCTCTCTCTCTCTCTCTCTCCTTTGATTTTGTAATGAAATGATTTACATTTATCAGGAAAAAAAAGTCTATGAAAATATTAACTACGTTGATTGTTGATTAGCAATCAACTAATCAGAAAATTGATTATCGTCTTAATCAGATACTTTACTAATCAATTGTTTGTAAATACTTTCAGGTTTATTTGTTGTTAAGTGTATAGTTAATTTGACAACAATTAACTAACTGACTTGATCTCATCATCCTAATCATTACCTTAATTTTGCTCGTTGGGAGTTTATTTGAAACAATTTACTCTCTTCACCATAATCATCAACAAATAGACAACTTTAATTATAATTAATCATCTTTAATCATATTCAATAGATTTCACCTAAATTGAAATTAACCAAGAGAAAAATTAATTTAATTTAATTTAATAAAAATTAAAAAATTCAAGTTCAATTGTTTTAATAAGTTTTCCAATTACACCCAAGAGATGGCGCTACAGTTTGGATTAATTGAAAAAAAAAAGTTAATTGTCATTAAAACAATCAATTAATTAAGTCTTAATTTGTTACAGTTAAAATTGGAACAATTTATTTTCTGTATTTAGTGTTAAGAAATTGTTAATTGGATCAGTTAATTTATACTCATTGTTTTTTTTAATCATAATGGAGACAATTGGTGATCATTAGACAATTTAAATTTCTAAGACAATTAAGTGTTGTTAATGATGAACAATTTATTAATAATAATTAAAATGAACTATTGTCAATATGAGTGACTGTTGAAACAATTAACTTTAGATTAATTATTAATTGTAATCATCTTTTCTTATCCGTTTCTTGCTGATTCTTAATCTGAGAGAAAAGTTTTGACAATTAAATTGATTATTATTAATTTGATTGTGGTGATGATGAGATGAAGAAAAGTCGATTAATTTAATTGTGAACTTATCTATCCCCTAACTGATTATCTTAAATTGTTAATTACTTTTTTTCTTGAAATTATTGTTTCTTTTTTTTTCCTCGTTCAAAATGAATATTATTTGGATTCAATTGATTTTAATTACTACAAATACGATTGGACTGGAAGCAGGAGGTAAATTAGTTAATTTCTGTGATTAATTTTAATTGTTTCAATTTTGATTGATAAAAACATCACAAAAAATCATCAAGGATTATTGTTAATTGTGTTAATCATGTTTTCCCATGATATTTCATAGGTGACAAAGGAGGTGGCGATGTGATCATCATTGGTGCAGGTAAGATGAGATGTTGATTAATTTTAATTGTGAACAATTAATGTAACCATTAAGATGTAATTTACTAGGTAATGGTGGCGGTGGTGGATCAGGTTGGGGTGGCGGTGGTGGCTGGGGAAGTGGAGGAGGTTTGTAATGATCTTTTCATTTATTGTTTTGGTTAATTGAGAAGCAAAGTTTTTAAATTGTTAATTGTTTACTATTAGTTTAGGAATGCCAATGATGGTTTATGAAGGAGATGATGATGATGACGATGATAAGGGAAAAGGTAAAGGTAAAGGAAGCAAAGGAAAAGGCGGAAGTTCACCTACAATTATTATCATCGGTGGAGAAGGTAACAAAGGAAGTGGTGGCGGAGGATGGGGTGGTGGTGGTGGATGGGGAGGAGGAGGTGGTGGTGGTGGTGGTAATGGAGGTGGAGGTGGAGACGGTGGAGGATGGGGAATGAGCTCTGGAGGCTGTGGAGGAGGTTGTGGAGGATCGTCTATGAGCCCGATACAATATTTACCGATTCCTGTTCCGATGACCAGTAAAATGATGAGGTCAACTGGCTGGGGAATGGCTGGTGGCGGTGGAGGGTCAAGCTCGGCGGCAAGTATGATCACTCCAATGGTTTGGGGTTAAATTGTTTCCAATTGAATAGTCAAAACAATTTACCTCTTATTTTTAAAAGTTGCAGGAAACTTTTAGTTTAATATGAAAAAATTAACTCATTTAACTAATTAACTAAAATTTACTTAGATAAATCAATTGCCATGATTATTATTGATGAAAATCTTAATCACATTCATCATTTAACAATTAGATTAAAACATTTTTTTACCATTGAAACAAAACTTCAAAAATTAATTGTAAATTTTTTTGTTTGCCCGATTGATTTAGATGATTTCAATATGTTTTTATTTGATTGAGTTAATTGCTGTTTAATTGTCTCACTCATTGAGATTTCCAATGAGTTTTTAATTAAAACCTCACATTGGTCCAGTTTTACAGTTTAAAAGAAGTAAATTTTGTTTTAAAACAATTGAATGACTATTATCATTTACTGGAACCAAATTGTAAGAATAACAAATTACAATTATAATTGTGATTGTGATTAGTTTTTTGTTTTGATTAGTTGATTGTTGTTGCTGCTGATCATGGTGATGATGATGAGTAGGAGGCGGAAGAGGAAGTAGTGATGATTATTGGGATGGAAGACAAGTTGAGCACTTTGGTACGAAATGATAATATTAATAAAATTTTTTGGTTAAATTAGTAATTGTCCCTTAATTAATAAATGATTTTCTTTCATTAATTTTCATTGTAATTTCGTTTAAATTGTTTCTTCATTGTGACGATTCACCTAAAGGAGTAACAATAATTAAGATTATAACTTTCAATCAGGAAAAAAATCTATAAATATAAACTCATTTTCCAATTGAATTTGCTTGAGAATCTGAGGATCAATTATAAGTATAAATTCCGGTGAAAGGAGATTAATGAAATGACTATTGTTACTTTTTATTCATAATCTCTGGTCTAATCATTGGATTTATCGTAAATACAATTTATGTCAAAGTGATGAAACGAAAAGTCGCTGATAAATCAGTATCATTTGAATTTAATCGAAATACATTCAGTTGGACTCGACAATTAAACGATGAAACACAATCAACTCTTCAACAATCGACAATTACAAGAAAACGATCAATCTGATTAAGTTCAAGGATAATGATGAAAACTCTTGGACGTTGTAATGACCAGAAAGAAGATCAAATTGAAAATAAAGTTTCTGTTATTTTTTTACTTCGTTCAGTCCAAGTAATGTTTTTCGTTCGTTTTCACCAATAAGATCAACTAATTTCAATCAAATCATCGCGTTAAAAATGGCCTTAATTTTAGCTTTGGCCTTTAATTGATTTCCCAGTGAGCATCATTACTTGGATTTTGACCTTCAAATTTGGACTTTTGTCACGTAATATTAATACAATCGCAATTTGGTCTTGCGATTACCTTGATTGTTTCGATTAATTGTCTCCTCATGTTTATTGTAATATTCATAGCGATTTATTAATAGATTGATCATGACAAAATTATCGATGATTTCAACATAAATCCAAGAGTCTAATTTTTATTCTAATTGCTATGAATTGTCCAATTTACAATCTAATTGTTGATTTATCCCTCAGACAATCAAATCTAATCATATAAAAATATCAACATTATCTACTTAAACTAATTGTTGTGAAAAAGTTTCTCAATTTCATCAATACGATGTAAAAGCAATGAAAATTTGTCTCTAATCATTAGGAAGGTTAATTGTTCAGAAGCTAAATAACATTATTAATGTGTGATGATTAATTAATTAAACGTAATTACAGTAATGAAAAGATGATAAGATTTAAATTGCTGTTATTTGACAATTAAGAGAGTGAGAAACTTGAAGTGCAACCATTTAATCAACATAATAACAATAGTTGATAATCACAATCAAACAATTTAGTTATCATCTTTTTCCTACCTTTTTGTCAAGTAATTGTTGATAATTTAATTTCATGTTCATTAATAATGATAAGTTAATTTAGTTAAGGCGTTTTTAGAGTAAGAGTAACATCAATTAAGTAAAACACTGACACTGACAATTAAAACTAATCACCCGTAGTATTTAAATTAATTGTCACTCTGTTTTTGTTCACTGTTAATTAAATCTTTAGCTTTCCATTTTTCATTTGTTTAATTAAATCATGATTAACTTACCTTTGATTACGTTTATATTTTTGATTATATCAACAAGCACAATCAACTCACTTCCAGGTAAATGGACACTAATCAAATCAATGAACATGGTTACAATTAAGGTAAACAATTAACTTTTCTTTTAATTTTGTTTCTATTTATTTGTTTATTAATAGTGATTAATGAGATAGACAATGAGTTCAATGATGATCAGTTAATTACTGAAGTGATTACAAGCCAACAATCAATTAAACCATTGGAGGATTTAAGTTTATTTCTAGGAGATATTAAATTGCGAGCAAAAAATGAATCAACAAACAATGATGATGATAAGGTAAGTCGACAATTAGATTAAATAATAATTAATTTAATTGTTATCTATTAATATCCAATAAGAAATTACCATCAAATAATAACATTAAATTGATTCGTTGATTGTTTATGATTAGATGTTATTTAGAAACGCAATTGAATTTGATGATAATCTTTGGTCTTACGCTTATGTACCAATTGAAATTGATCCAAAATTAGGTTAGTTTATATTGTGTGATGACAAAAGTTAATCAACAACAATTAACTGATTTTCTATTCGAAACAATTTAGATAAAATATCGTCAATGATTGAAGAAGCACTAGATGAGTTCCATCAGAAAACTTGTATACGATTTAAGACTCGAATCGCTGAACGTGATTATGTTAAATTCATTTTCGATGAAGGGTAAGTGATCCTCGTAATTTGTTAATTGTTTCATGCTAAATGTTAATCATTCTGTGATTAGTTGCTATTCATTTGTTGGGAGACTTGGAGGACTTCAGACAATTTCATTAGGTGATGGTTGTCATTGTAAAGGAACCATAATTCATGAGACCATGCATGCTCTTGGATTTTACCATGAACACAACAGATCAGATCGAGATGATTATGTAACAATTAACTACGATAATATACAATCAGGGGCTAAGAATATGTTCATTAAACTGAATCCACATGAGAATCGGCTCTACACAACTTACGATTATGGTGAGAGTTTACATTTTACTTAATTGTTAGAACCTTTTTTTTTTCTTATATTTATCTTAATTGTTACAGAATCAATTATGCATTATGATGGAGCAGCATTCAGTAAATCAGCTAATCTATTAACTATGGTTCCCAAACAGGAAGGAGTTAATCTGGTTCATCCTTGTGATAAACCATTTCTATCAGTAAAAGACGTTGAGAAACTAAATCAACTTTATAAGTGTTCAAATTAGATTCTAATTGTAACAACAATTAACTCGAAATACTTGTCTAGATATGTGCCTATTTTTTACATTGACAATTGTAATTTAAATACTATTACTATTAATTGCTAATCTTTTATTTGATAATTTAATGTCCAATTAAAAGTTAATCAATTTTTTTGCATCAACATTTGTTTTTTTATCAAATTACATTTTGATTTAATTGTTGTGACGGTTGGTGAAGTAATTGTTACAATTTTCGCGTTTAATAGTTAATTAAATTATATTAGTTTAATTGATTGGGTATTTTCTCAATGAAATTTCAGAATTAATTGTTTTTTCTCTCTGTTAATTGTTAAATAAATGATTAGATTTGATGATGATTTGTTTTTGCTCTCAACGCTCTGAATCCGGTTACATTAATATCAACCATTTGAATTGATCGTCCGCTGATTGTTTTAATTGTTGATGGTTGAAGTTGATGATTAAGATGATTAATATGATCATGATGTTCAGTCTTTTTACCACAATTAGACATGGTAAATGTTGATTTAACGAGATCTCGGTCACGAGTTTGTCCATTGGCTCCTCCAACGTTTCCATTATGACCATTGGTCACTCGACGAGATCGTGAAGATGAACTGTCCAATCTTAAGAACCAGGAAAGTTTTGGATAAAGTAAACAAATGGCTTTACGAAATGAACCATTAGTTATCCCATAGATTAATGGATTAAGAGCTGAATTAGCCGATGCGAAAACTTGAGCCCAAAATTTAGCCTCCTCGTTCCAGGGTTTAACCTTTAAACAGTCAACAAAGAGAAATTCATTTAGACAATTAGTTAATTGTCAATCAACAACAATCAAAATAATATTTATAGTTACCGAATCGACTGATTTGAATGCAATGAAACGGTAAAAAACGATAACTTGTAATGGACTCCAACAAATGGCCGAAGTGATTAGATAGATGAATAACATTAAGATCACTTTCCGTCGGTGTTTAATTTTGATACTATTCTCATCGGTGCTTATTTTATTCTCAAAGTTTTTCATCTTAGCGATAACCAGGCAATAAGAAAAGGTCATTATGAAGAGCGGTATATAAACCATAAACGCTAAAAGGACAAACATGTAAACATCAATTTTCCGACCATCGGTTTTACACCAAATCTAAATGATAATCAGAATGAAAAAAATTTCTCAGTTAATTGTCAAGTCTTTAATTGATTAAGAACAATTGATCGGCACCTCTAAGTAGTCACACCATTGACGGGTACGATATTCACGCCAAAAATAAAAGGGAATCCCGATAACGAAGGATAAAAGCCAAATAAAGGCCATAACGGCAACGGCTCGAGTTTTTTTCATCGGGTTTCTAAAAGGTTTGATTATCCCGATTAGACGATCACACGAAATCCATGTTAATGAGAAAACACTGGAAATTAAAAATAATACTGAAAAAGAAAATGATTCAAATTAATTAACAATAATTTGCATGGAAAATTAATTACGTTGGATAACAATTAGACTTGATTTTTATCTCTCTCCATTTAACAATCAAATTGTGACATTAATTTGATCACATTGATCTTTGATTATCCCCCAATGAATATTTTGAGTAATAATAATGATGATTTTTAAATTGTTACCAATTCGTTAACTGTAATAACCTTTCAATTAAATTGATTTAATCAATTAGTTTGCATGTGAGATTGTCTCATATGAACATTTAACTGATTTAATTGATTACTCATGTAATTGTGTTTCTAATCAAATGTCTCCTTCGATTGATTGAAAATTTGATTGCGATAATGAGAGTTAATTGTTGGTGAGAGAAGAAAAAAAAGGTAAATCAAATTGAAAGATGAATAATTGATGAGCAATTTAAAACAAAAAGAAATCAACTAATCAATTAATCAACAGAATTGATTTAGTAAAGTAAAAATAGATCAACAAGGTTGACATCAGATAAATGAATTAACTATTACCACCCGGAGTCTGATGACGTAAATCTAACAGGTAAGTCTCATTAACTTACACCAATGTGAGTTAATTGTTAATTAAAACTAAATTAAATTGATCAACATTCACTTACCTTTAGCTGAGGTTTCAATTTTACAGAAAATTGGACCAAGAACATAATTTTGATAAAGATTTTCAATCAACGAGGCCCATGCAAACATTAGAGTGGTCAACAGGTCAGCAATTGCCATGTTACAGATAAACAGGTTGGTACAATTTCGAGAATTTTTGAACTTAATTATAACCATGACAATTAGATAATTACCAATGCAAGAGACGCCGATTATGATTAAGAAAATCAATGCCTTCAGGCTCATCTCTAGATACGTTTTGTGAACCCAAACAGTTTGCTGGCTTTGGTAAGAGATTATCGTTGTATTGTGAAGCCAATCCTCTGGACCCCGGTAGCAAGGAAATCTAAACATTTGAATGGTGTTGATGATGATGATGATAAAGATGAGGATGGAGATGAAGATGAGGATGAGAAGATCAAGATCGGCCAAGAGACCGTCCGAGTTCATTTAGGAATCAATGTTCAGTTCCTAAGGTTGAGTGAAAAAGTTTCCATAATCTTTATGAAAGGGAAACAATTAAGATTATTGTTCAACCCTTTTGTTTGATTTTTGTTTTACTCCAAATTTAAATCAACAATTAGTTTAAATTGTTAATTTTTAAAATGCTGTTAACGGAAATAAACAATCCACACAAATTGGTAACAATTAAATACAATCAATAACGTACGACAAAATTAACATGAAAAAGTTTAACTGAATCACATATTAAACACATTGATTAACTTTCCATTGGTTGATCAGGATCAATTGATTAAATTGCTTGTGATCAAGTGATCCGTTAATCCGTTTGGTATTATTATTATTATTATTATTATACTTAATTGTTACCAATGTTTACCAAATAGAAATAAAAATCAATACACTAATTACAATTAATAGTTGGACTTTTAGGTTTTAGATTTTAGTTGCTGTTGTATTTTGATTGTTTGTTTATTTCTGATCATTATTATTACTACAACAATTATCATTTGCTCATTGATTGATTATCGGGAATTCAAACCATGGGAGGGATGGGAGAGAGAGAGAGAGAGAGAGATAATTAGATTAGATTAATTGATTCAATTGCAATTTTTACAGGTATTACAATGGCACTTGATTCTAATTGCTAATCTAATCTATCTCTTACTTTTAATCATTTTCTCGCTCTCTTCTAGTGATTAGTGATTAAATTTACCAGATTTTCATTGATTCCATATTATTAAAATATCGTTGAAAGGTTTGGTTGGTTAATAACATTTGTGACAATTAATATAATTGATTTCTAATTGAATTTAAGTTTACAAATACATTAGACAAAATTGATTCACTTAAATTTCATTTGACATTATTAACTTAATAATTAGTAAATTTGTTTCTATACAGTTCGGTTAAATTGAGTTGGTGGTTTTATATCATTCGCGCAGTCAAAAGTGATAACAACAATTTATCAATCAAATCAATATATATAATGATTAATACAGTTAAAGATTGAATCAAATTAGTTGATTGTCATAATAATTGTTATAATATGTAACATGGTTACTTGGAACCCAATTTATCAAATCACAGTTAATTGTTTTCCCATTTTCATTCAATTGGTTATTATTATTGTTTGTTTGGGGTAAAATTTTGATCAAAAATAAATTTTGGTGTAAAAACAATTTATACAATTAGTTAAATAGTTGATCAATTGTTGATTGATTGCTTGATTGCTTTGGACAATTTAAAATAAAAAGACTCTCAAGTGCCAATTTTGTAAATTGATGATATCGAAATGGTGAGATTACCATTGATTAAATTTAATTGTTGCCTCTTTTTTTTGTTGATTATCTTTGTGTGTTGTGCATTTAAAGTTAATTTAAGAAATTAATTGTTGTGATTATAATCATAATGGTATTGATAATGATTCTGCAATAACGGCATCATGAATTGTCGGGAAAATTGGTGACCTTTAGCTGTTATCTTTTCGGTGAATCGAGTCCGCTCTAACATGGAGAGTAAAATGGCCGGACATGAGGCCAGATAACAGCGAACCCGAATATCTCTTAATCCATTGAAAATCTCAAGGATCATCTCAACTCCTGGTGAATCAACGTAAGAGATTGTTGAACAATCGATTATTACAGCGGTCGTTTTACCGAGAATTAGTTTACGTGTCGAATCATCGGCTTCCATCAACTCGAAAAAGGCACAATCGAAGCAAAATTTGAACAAATTTTCACGAAAAGTTTCAGTATTAAGGAAGAAAAGTGCCGATGAGAATCGGAATATTTTAATTCCATCCAATTCAACTGCTTGTTGGAAATAATTTTTCTCAACATAAATCTCTGTATTAGGAAGTTGACCTAAAGTGATACATTTGGTGCCATGAAACGGACTAGAGCCATGATAATGGCCACCAGGACACCGACAATAAGGCCAAGGTCAACATCAAGTACAATAGTTGAAAGGAAAGTGATCAGGTAACAGATACCTTCGAGTCGGGAGACTGACCAGATTTGTCTTATATCACCAATTTGAATGAGCATATTTTTCAATGCCACCAGAATGATACATGAGAGGACACATTTTGGAAGATAAAAGAAGAGTGGACCAAGGAAGAGAAGGATGAGAAGCATGATAAGTGAGGCGATAAGTGCGGTGAGTTGAGTTCGAGCACCAGCGTTTTCTTGAACGGGAGTTCGTGAAAGTGAAGCAGAACAAGGATAACACGAGAAAAACGAGGAAAGTAGATCAGCAGCTCCAAGAGCGATAAGTTCCTGTGAGGGACGGATTTGATAGCGATGTTTCTTGGCGAAAATTTTACCCAATGAAAGTCCAATAGCATAAGTTACCATTGCAACGGCAAAACCATCGGGTAAAAGTTTAACCGAAAGATCAAGATTCGAGTTGATATTGAAGGTAAACCCTTGGGTATATTTCCATTATACGAACACCATAGTTTACATTCATCCTGATAAAATATGATGCACTTGTTGATGAGATAAGAATGAGCAGATCGATCGGAACGGAAACCGGAAGGTGAAACTTTTTCTTCATTGGTTCATCAATAAACTCCTTGTAAACCGATAAAATAACAATGCAAACAATTGAGAGCGACGTTGTTACCCAATTAGTTGTACTCGCGGCTTTAAACAGATCAATCCAAGTCTATTTTGGGAGGAAAAAGACAAAGACAACAATTAGTTGAAATCAATTGATTGTTCACCTGATTTGCTTACATAGATCAATTTAAATGGTCCACTGACGGTTTTGGTGATTTCAGCCGAAAAGATCGGCGATTTGACTTGTGCCACATGAATCGCTGCTCGGTTGAAAATGCTGATACCAATTGATCAGATAATAGTATTGATATAATTCCGAGGCGGAAAACTCCATTACTAATCTTATGGCACCGCCACGAAGCAAGAGCTGTGGCCACTTCTAAACTTGTATACAATGGAGTTGGATGATTAAGATAATCCAAATTAATTGTTCTATTCCCATGTCCTATTGACATAGTTCCAGGAGGAACTCCGAGCTTGTTCATTGTATTCCGAGTCATGATACTGGCGATGGCAAAGGTTCCTGATTAATTAGACAAACAGAATAATCATTCA